GTAGCTCAGGCGGACAAAAAGCCCTGGAAACTGCTTCCCCAGCCCCTTCGGCAGGGATATCAGTCAAACCCTGCAAAGGAACCCTTCACCCAACTGAGAATCTGCTATGACCAATGGATTCCTTCTCGAAGGCTCTGGGGGAGATTCTCTTGAGGCAGTGCCTTCCCCGATCTAGGGAACCCCCACTAAAGGACTTTAGAGCCACAGCCCTGGCACCAAAAGCCCCCTCATGCCCTGGTTTAGGAAGAAGTGGACTTGGGTAGAAACTGAGTTTGGTTCAGGACCACATCTGAACTCTGTGTGTGATTGTCTGACCTTGGGCAAGTTCCTTAACCTCCATTTCTGGTGTGTAAAACTGGGCCAGCTGGTCACTGGAGACTTGATGGCAATTAAGAGATGAGGCCAAGTGCAGCGCACGCGCATGCGTGTGTGCGTGTGTGTGTTGCTGGGAATGGAACCCAAGGTATTGAACGTGAATTCTTTTCTTTTTCTTTTAGGTCTGAGACCAGGATTCAAACTCAGTACCTGCTGTTTCTGCTCATAGGCTAGCGCTCAACCAACAGAGCCAGGCCTCCAGTCAAAAGCCCTGCATTCTTTTTGTTTTGTTTTTACCAGTCCTGGGGCTTGAACTCAGGGCCTGGGCACTGTGACTGAGCTTCTTTTTGCTCAAGGCTAGCACTCTACCCCTTGAGCCACAGTGTTACTTCAGGCTTTTTCTATTTATGTGGTGCTGAGGAATAGAACCCAGGGCTCTGTGCGTGCTAAGCAAGCACTCGACCACCAAGCCACATTCCCAGCCCCAAGCCCTGCATTCTTAACTCAGCAGTGCTACATTTTAGCCTTGTCTCCTCTGGGACTCACAGAATTGGACAAAATACCTCCATTGCATCTTCTTCTTAATGGAGAAGTAAGGTGACTTCTCCCAGCAAATAATAACAAAGCCAATAATAACAAAGCTCTCTCAGTGGAGAGCTGGGGCTCATATGAAGTCAAAACCAATCTCTCACCCCTAGCAACACTGTTTCTCCACTGTGATGTAGTGGGGAACTATATCAATGCCAATCTCATTAATTGTGCCCAGTAAGACCAGTTAATGATCACTGAGCAAGAAGCCAGGCTGAGCTCACCGCTTTTCCAGCTATGAAGTAAACAGGACTTCACCAGGAACATCAACATTTGCCTAAGAGAACTTGCAACATGCTTAAGTAACCTCATTTGCATTTAAACGAGCTGGAGCTCATCATAGGGTCCCAGAGGGAACAGAGCAGCAGGCCCTCCACCCAAGCAGTGGCAGGGCCCCAAAGACTCCAGAGGCCCCGCAGTTATCTATGCCCCCTAGTGGTCCACCTCAGAACTCCTTGTGCAGCTTGCTAGATGGCTGAGAACACCCAAGTCTCAAAGACAGAAGAGAAAGAAGTCCTGCTGAGGTGAGCTGTTCCAGCCCTCTGGATTCTGGATCAAGCACAGATAACAACAACCAGCCTCTTGCCACAGAATAGGAAACGGAGCACTTGCCTTACTATCTCTGTGCACATTTCTGCAAGGCTGCTGCCCATTTAGCAAGTATGATGGTTATGTTAACATGACCAGCTGACCAGTTATTCAGTCACGTGGTACTCCAGGTAGTGCATGGAAGGCCTTTTGACAGTTATGCTTGAGGTTGATCAGTTGACATTAAGTAAGGGAAAACAATGACCACTCTGGGTGAGCCTGAGGGAGAGGCCTCAAGTTACACAGGACTCTGCGTAGGCCAAAACAGAGTTTGTTCTAGGGGTATGCACCCTCTCTGGGGAAATTTAAGATGAAAAAATACCACTATTTGGAACATATTTGAAGAGTGCCCCCTAGTGGTGGTAAGAAGAGTAATTGCAGGAATAAATAAAGGAATCAGAAGACCTCAGTAAAAAGCTTGGGTCCTCCCGCAGAGACAAAGAGGCCTCTACCAGGTGTGACGGAGGGAGATCTTTAGGTCACTCTGACAGGTGAGAGGAAGGGAGGGGTCAAGGTTAGGTGTCAGGCCTGACCAACAGACAGATGGCACCACGCTGGGAAGAAGCAAGTGTGGCAGAGGGAGGTGCAAATAACTTCAGGCCACAAGAGCTCTCCTGCACCGGCCTGGCTTCAGAAATCCAAATAACCACCAGAAAACCGGAAGTGGCGCTGTAGAGTGCTTGCCTTGAGCTGAAGAGCTCAGGGACAGCACCCAGGCCCAGAGTTCAAGCCCCATGATCCACCAAAAAAAAAAAAAGAAAAAGAAAAAAAATAGCAGCAGCTAGCACTTCACCAAAAGTAATAGTAATACTTCATTAAGTAATAGTAGCTAGCACCTGGGGCAGTTTTCTTGGTTATTGGCAGTGTTCCAAGGCTGCTTGCAGGTAGTTATTGATCTAGTCTTCACCTGGGTGTGTATTAAGGTTCTCCAGAGAAAGAGGACCAACAGGATGTGCTTATGGAGGGGGTGGGGAAGGTGCTCACATGACTGGAGGCTCAGTCATGTGGTAGGGATGGCTGGCAGGAGTCCGGGCAGAGGTGCAGTCAAGTCCTAGGGCAGACTTGCTGTCAGTTCTCCTACTTAGGGGTTGTCAGTCTTTCTTCTATGAAGACCTTCAACTGCTGATACCCACCCACATAAAGGAATGTAATCAGCTTAACAGAGGTCCACTGATTTAAAGGTAAATCTCATCCAAAAACCACCTCGACAAAAACATCCAGAATAACACTTGGCCAAATACTCAGGTGCCCTAGTTCAAGGGTTGATAGACAAAATTAACCATCAAAGTGGGGAAGGGTTGGGATGTAGCTCTATGGTACAGCACTTGCCCAGAATGCAGGAAGTCCCAGCTTTAAATGATTCCCCAGAAATGAAGGGGAAAAGAAGTTAGTGGTCCCAAGATGAATGTGAAGAATATCTCTTGGTTTACAGTGAGATACAGTGAGGGTAAGAAATCTATGCAAGGTCACAAAGGAAAGCCAGTCACTACTAAATTCCTAGGGCCTGGCTCCAGCCTGGCACTTTGAACGAGGTACTAAGTGGCCATTATCATAAGCATACCAAGGTAAATTAAATTTCTCCTCCCATCCTTTTCCTGGCTGGAGGGCAGAAGGCGGAGTGGCTGGGAGCCTCTTCTAGCCAGGCCTGGGCGGAGCCCAGCCTTACTTAGGAAGAGAAGGGCAAGAGGGAGGGAGGGCAGGAATCTTGCCTTTAGGGGAGAAACTGGGGCGGGGCGCACACTTGGAGGGACCAAGGTGAAAGCTGAGCCTAGACAGGGTCCCAGGGTTTCAGAAAGTGAAGGAAGTAGGGACTATAATGACTATGATGATGGTGATGAAGGTGCTTCCATAGGTGGTTTGTTAACTTGCTGTGTTCTTTTAAACATAGGATAGATAACATTACCACCTTTGCTTTAAAGAGAACAGGAAACGGGAACAGGGAGGTTGCAATACTTGCCAAAGGTCACACAGAGAAGAACCAAAGGGCTGCACAACTATGTAACAACTACTATAATCTTGTAACAACTACTATAATCCGACTGAGGCCCAAGGAAAGTTCCCTGGGGAGGGTGTTAGGTTCCCCCCCAGGCCCAGCTCTGCCCCCTGCCTCAGTTCCCCTATCCGGATGCCCACCCAAACTGAGGACTGGGAATAGTTGTACCACTTGCAGCCAGTTCCACCCCTCAGATTCCTTACCTAATGTGCTCACAGGAGGAAATGGCCCCGTGCCCCAGTGGGCAGGCCTTCTGGGACACCTGAGCCAGCAACCAGTCACATTGGGCACATCTCACCCCACAAGTAGACACGCCCCCCCAAACAGGTACACAAACACGTGCTGATACAGGCTCCAGCCATAGCCAAGTATGTCCGACAGACACCCCAGTGCACACACCAGCCTCAGCACAGGCCTAGCAGGACCACACATGTACAACCTCCCCTCCACACAGGGCCCCCCACAGACATACCAGGACCCCACTTTCCCTCCCAATAAGCAGGTGTTTGTCCACAAAGCACCCAAGAACCCATACTCAGAGGGCGCAGTATACAATTACAACCTCCCCCGCTTCCCATCCCACCCACCATGCCAGGCACACAGGCTTCTACTGGCACACAGGCCGAGGCGCTTGGGTGAGAGGGCTCCCCAAGCCCCCTGGGATGGCGCCCGGTGCATGCACCACCCCCAATGGTCACACGCGCGCGTGTGCACAGACCGAGAGCAGCCTGGGCCCCGCACACGCAGCCCAAACTGCGGGAGAACCCCTCCTCCCCCGTGAACGACACCCCGCCCACACCCACACGGTGCCATTTTCCAGCCCGGCCTCCCCCATCCGGGGAGAAAAATCCTTCGGTGATCCCGCAGGCAGCGGACAGCCCCGGCACACCGCGGCCATCCGCGTCGCGTCGCTCTCAGAAGGGGACGGGGGAGGGGGGGCCCCTACCCGCTTCTCAAACTCCAGCGGGGCGGGCCAGCGCTGCACCTGCCCGGCGGGCGCGGGGGCGCCCCCACCCTGCAGCCAGGGGCGCGGGCCCAGAGGTGGGGGAGGAGAGCCCCCCCACACACCGTGCTGGACTGAAACTCCCATCCCGCCGTTCAAGGACGACCCCTCCGCACTCCAGATCTCCCCTCCTCACGGGAGGACCCCCGCGTCTCTATTAACCCTTGCGCACCGGCGCACCCGGGGAAGAACGCACGGGAAGCCACCACGGTGCCCAGCTGTGGAACCGCAGCCTGGAATGAGGGAACCGACTTAGGACCTTCCCAAGAAGCCCGCACGGCTCCCAACGCATCCATTCCCAAGCTGAGGCAGGGGAGAGGGGGAGGGGGAAGGAGATCAAGGTGCAACCGGCCACGATCTTCCAGGGCAAGGACTAGAGGTGAGCACCCAAAGGACCCCTGGATCCGCAGGATCATAATCCCCCGCAGGGTGGGAGGGGCGCGCGTGTGAAACAGGGGTGGCAGCGCAAAACGAAAAAACAAACAACAAACAAACGCCCGCAGGCTCCCTTACCTGATTTCCTCTTGGAACTGCCATAGTCCCTGAAAAAGAAGCAACAACAGATAGACATGGTTAGAGCCGGGCGGGGACACGGGGCTGCGGCCGGCCGGGAGTCGGTGCTCATGTGATGCCCACGGCCCCGGCGAGCCGCGCGCTCCGCAGCCGCCCGCACTGCGCGCCGCGCGCTGCCCGCCCGCGCGGGTTCCGGCAGCCCGGCGGCCTCCCACGAGTGCGATCGGTCCTGCCCGCCCCGCCCCGCCCCGCCCCGAGGAATGCCCCTCCCTTAGCCTTCTAGGATTAGGGGAACAGGTTCCCTAGCACTTGGTGAACAGGGAAACTGAGGCTCCCGTTCGAATCCAGGCCCTGACTTGTGCGGGGGGCGGGGGACTCGCTCCCCGCTCCCCACTTCTTTGCATGGCTTGTGATTACTCACTCACTGTCAAATCACAACTGAAATGTCACCTCGGTGGGAATAAGCACTGGCTGGGCTGGCTGGGGTAGGACCAAAGTTAAGCTGGGCAACTTGGGCACGGGGGCCGGGGCGGGTAAGCTCTGCATCGCTGACTGGGAGGCCAGGAGTGCTAGCTAGGGATGGAGGTTGAACTTCCGAAGAACTGAGCCCTGAGTTCAAATCCACTAACTGCTGGGAGGCTTGCTTGCTTTATTGCCTGTGGAGGGTCATCTAGCCGAGAGCCTGCTATCTGCCCGCACACTCCCATCAGGCAGTTTTCCCAATCCTGTCCCGGGAGGAAATGCCACTCACGTTGCAGCTTTGGTCCAAGCAAACTAGTCAGCCAGTCTGCTGACAAGAGGGGACTTGTGGAGAAGGAGCAGCAGCAGCTCGGAGAATGCAAGGTGGACTGCACTGTGACTCCCTGAGACTGGGACTCTGGAGATCTGACTTCTGCCAGGCCACTGGTTGGTACAAGGTGACTGGCCTGCCACAGCCAGGGGCAATGAGCTCCTATATTTGTACAAAGTTTGGGCTCAGAACTCAGTATTTGGAATGCTGGGGGCATAGCTCAAGCCGATGTGTTTCTTTTCCTGTTGTTTTGAGACAGGGTCTCCCTGTGTTGCCTAGGATGACCTCAAATTCTAGATCTTCCTGTCTCAGCCTCCTGCTGCTAGGCTGTGCAGCCAGGACCAGAGGAGCCTCTCTGGGACCACATCATGACAAGCCATGCTTCTTCAACCCTCCATGCTGAGAGGAGGGTCCTAACGATGGGGAAACAGAGGCTCAGCCAATGCCAAGTCACCCTAGGTGGGGATGGGCTGTGGCTCATAAACCTACTGTCAGGAATGAAAACCTGGAAGGCTTGTGGGGTGAAGGAGAATCTGTTGGGACTCAGGCCTCGGGTCCCCAGCATGCTCTGCTAACTGTGGCAGAAGAGAGGCTGGGCTCCCAGCCTGCCTTGCTGTTCAAGGGTGGGGAGAACTCCCAGATAGGAGGAGCAGATTATACGGTGGTGGTGCCCTGCCCAGAAGATATCCACTGCCAAGGAGGAAATTCCTGCTTCAAGCTTTTAACTGAGGAAGGCTGGGCAGGGTGTGACTGGCAAAGAGGCCCCTGAATCCCTGTTCTCCCTGTAGCCCCAGGGGGATGCCCAGGCTTCTCCAGGTCTGTAGCCCCAGCCTAGAGGCAGGCAGGCTACTCCCATGTGGCTTGGGGTCCCAGGGCCAGGCGTGGGAAAGGGAGATTATTCATATGCCCTGGCCATTCAATGGAATCGTCTAGAAGACTGGCTAAAAATTCAGATGGGAAGCCCCACCCCCACCTACTAGGTTATCTTCATTTCCAGTAAGCTTCCCAGGGGATTGTGAGGCTGGGCTGTGTTACATAATCTGCACCAGGGCCTGGACCATCCCTAAGGCCAAAGTAAGGAGAGTGTGTTTGGAGTGCTGAAGAAGCTTCCAGATGAATCTCCAAGTCAGACAGTCTAGAGCCCTCCCTAGGGCTGGGATTATAGATGTGCACTACCACACCCAGTGTAAACTCTTCATCTAGCTAGTGAGAAGGGCAAAGTTTAAGGGAAGCCTGCAGGACTAGGATCATCCAGTGATTGGGCGAGGCTTCTGCTGGCCACCTGGAAGCCTGGTCTTGTTCCAGATCTGAAGTCACCGCAGCTCCCCCACCCCCACCCAGCCTGCTTCCCCCCAGCAGGAGGTGCAGAGTGTGGGGTGGGGGTCCTGTGTGCAGGCTGTGACTGAATGGTGGGTGGCGGGTGGCGGGCAGAGGAATCCCTCCTGTGGCATCTGGCTTCCAGCCTGAGCAGGCGCTGCCCTAATAGGAAACCTCTTAAAGGTTTCCGGTTGGGCATCTTCTCGTAAAGCCATGTCATATTTTTAGCTGCTGGATTTGCTGAGGAGCAGTTTGGGTATGTTGTAGTTGGGACTCCCCCATTCTACACATACCAGGACATGAGGGCTCCCCCAGCTCCAGCCCTCACACCTTCCACTGCCTGGCAGCACGGCAGAGCCCAGTAATGGGGCCTCAGAACACCCCTCCTCATTCTCCCTCCTAGCTCCAATTCTTGCCCTGAGCTGATGCTGAGAGCCCCTACCCCTGCGGATGACTCCACACCCTGTGGATCCTAAGTCTAGCCTGCTTCCGACTAGCTGCTGAATCACGGTGTCCCAGGGAGCCACAGGAAGGGGGGGGGGGGCAGGCCTCGCATCTCCCTCCTGTGATGACGCCAGAAACTAATGGAATTGGAAAGGCCGCCCAGGCAGCGTCCTGACAAGCTCCCTCAGCCCAGCCTCCTCTGCAGCTGATCCACGGTAGCTAAAGCCACAGCCACCATCAAAGCCAGGAAGACAGGAGGGGCACAGACTGGATCAACAGGGACCTGGCAGGATTGGGAAGAGGGGTGGGGTCCCTCCAAACCAGCACAAGGACACAGCCTCCCCCAGACCCCACCCATGTGCCAGACTCCATGTCTTGGCCCCTTGTCCCGTGGGGGGAGGGGTACATTTGCAGCTTTGTGAGGAAGGCCAGCTTGAGCTCAAATCTCTGTGGATGGCTAGTTGGGTGGCAGAGACCTTGAGCCACCTCCTTTGCCCCTATTGATGAGGATGGTCACAGCACCACTGTGCAGGCTGTGGGAAGGACCCACTATAGGGCATGCAGAGGGTACGGCCTGGAACTGTCTTTAGTGCCATTTTTCATTCATCAGAACCTGGACTTATCTGGGTGGAGGAGATTTTGCCATCTGCCATCCAGATGGCAAAGGCCTCTTTAAACACGGACGCTGCAGAGAACCTTGAAACTCAAGGAGGTGCTCGGGTTATTCTCCCGTTACAGCATTCCCTAGTAGCTGAGACTAAAAGGATATTGCCTCTGTGGCTGGCTTTTCTTTTTCTTTTGGTGCTAGGGACTGAACCTAGGGCTTTGTGCTAAACCTGTACTCTAACACTGAGCAAACACTCTTAGCCCTCGGCTCATCTGTCAAAGGACAATGATCTAGAGAAACGAGGAGTCTAGACTCACCGATTAGGGCATTTTCTTTCTTTCTTTTTGACAAGTTCTTGCTCTGTGGCCCTATCTGGCCTCAAATTCCAGGACTCAAGGGGTCCTCCTGATCTTTATAGCACAAGATTGGTTATAAGACTCCAAACTGCCCAAGGAGCTGGGCCCCACATTTTTATACTAACAAGTACCCAGGAGGGTTGACTTTTCTTACTTTTTTCTCTCCTGCCCTCTAATTTCTCTTAGTGGATTTCTCTTGGTGAGATGAGATTTCTGTTCTTTCTTAGGTGTGTGTTGGAAGAGGCTGGAGGGAGGCAGTGGGAAGGGCACGTAATTCTGGTGGGTCAGCCTCCTGTTCTTACATGACTCTTCCCTTCACCATCCTTTGGAAATTTCCCAGCATTTGATCTTCAGTGCTCTGAAGTAAGTGGAGCCAGTGCTCACCTGTTTTCTGGATGGGAAGATTGAGGACCTTGGGGCTCAAGTGAAGGCCTGCTAGGGACTAGGCTCTAAGAAGAGGACACACCAGACGCAGGCACTGGGCTTTGGCTGGGGAAAGGAGGAGGCCAGCCTGCACCTCAATGTTCTTGGAGCAAAAGGGAAGGTTAGGAGGAGCAGAAGACAAGGGAGAGAAGAGGGAGGGAAGGCCAGCCTGGCGCATTGCTGTGCGAAAGGATGCTGCTTCCTGGCTGAGCCACTGAGCCCTTGGCCCTGCCCCCGTCCTTCCTCCTGTCACTGACAGCCTTGGTGCGGGACACCCGTGGACTCCAGCCTGACCTTCTCCCTCCTGTCTGCTGGCTGACATTGGCCGCTTGGCCTGGGATGCCTGTCTGTGGGCGCTGCTGCTGCTGCTGCTGCTGGGAATTACCTGAGCAGCAGGCTGGGTGCCAGACAGCTGACTTGGGGGTGACCTTGAGACTCAAGTGGAGGCTGGGAACAGGAGCACTCCTAGGAGAGGTGGGGGCCATAGTACCCAACCTTGGCCAGGGAGGGGACCTGCAGCCCCAGAGGTGTAACGTCATTATCACCCGGTGAACGCCCGTTCTGTCTGCCATGCGGGTACACCAGAAAAACCACCTGTGCTTCTGGCTTGCAAGTTGAGGGTCCAGCTGGGGAAGCAATGCAGAGGCTGACATTCTGAGCCTAAGCTGAGAGCTGCAGGGGTGGGGCTGAGGGGTCCTGGGTAGGTCCTAGGTGGCTTTCTGGAGGAAGGACCCTTGAAAGTCTTCCTTGAAGGTCTTTGGGTCCCTTGAGAGGATAGGCTGGAGGAAAAGTTCTCGAAGCAAGCAAAGTAGCTTCAGGCAGGCTAGGGGGGGCAAGACCAGGCCTGGTCAGGCTTTAATGTCCAGTTGTTGTATCTAGAATTCAAGGTCTGAGCCCAGTTAGGGAACTTTTTTTTTTTTTTTCATCAGTCATAGGGCTTGAACTCTGGGCCTGAGCACTGTCCCTCAGCTCTTCAGTTCAAGACTAGCGCTCTACCACTTGAGCTACAGCGCCACTTTCAGTTTTCTGGTGATTTATTAGAGATAAGAGTCTTGAGGGCTTTCCTGCCTGGGCTGGCTTTGAATGGAGATC